CTTAAGGAACTTTAGTTAGAGACCAATTTAAATCCAATCCTTTGGAGTCTCTAGAACAATTTGGCATCACTAAAATTGTTTTTCTTTTGCTACTTACCAACTTACCAGTTTCAATGGTATTTTCTGAGTTTATTTTTAGAGTGACACTAGTGAAAGATTTCTACGGTTGAATTAAAAAATCTTTTTGCACTCAAAAAAGAACATCAATGAGAAGAAAATAAGAGGATAAGAATATTTATTTATAGAATAAAAACCAAAAAAATGACAAGTTGTCAAAATTACGATTATTGGCGGCACTTTATTTTTTTTATTTTTTATTCTATTAAAGAAAATATATTGTAAGCATACGGCCTACTTATAAATGTATGTATGTAAGTAGTAACCGTAACCTTGTAGCATCACGTAATACCATCTTTACCAAAGGGGATATATGAGAACGAAAAAGGGTGAAGAATATATAATCTGGGTGATAGAGTTTCTAACGTTTTTCCCGAACAAAATACAACAATATGGATTTTACTTTCCTATTTAGCAAGATTCATTCACATTAACACCACCACCATAAACCACCATACAAAAATAAATTAAACTCAATATTTTCTTACCATACAATACTGCACTAAATCGAAAAAAATTAATAGCTTTACGATGTGTGGAAAAGTATAAATCGAACGTATGACTAAGGGAAAGATTTGACGCCCATGGACTGTTTTAAGCATTACGTATCTATACTATATTAATATTATAAAGAGGTAACGTTTGTGAGTTTGTGACGTTGTAGGGGGTAATCTCTGGATCTACTGAACCTATTTAGATGAAATTTGGTAAGAAGATAGTTTGAGACCCTGGAAAGGACATAAGATACTTTTGTTCCCGGAAATCATCCTTTATGGGGGTGAAAATGGGGATGAAAGTTTGTATTGGGAAGCAAGCTAGGTACAAACCCGAGCGAAGCGAGGGTGAGTCGCTAGTAATATAATAAGATGATCACGAAATGTTAAAACCTGTAAAATTAAATCCCAATTATCTTCAAGACATAATTCTTTTAAACTTCAATGACAGTTTGATAAATGTCTCTTAAGGACTGCAATTTTGTGACTAATGAAGCGATAAAATGTTCCAATCCATTACGGCTTAAAGGAAATTATAAAGATTGATTGTAAATATTGATTCTTATTAATCGGGGTACTATCATACACATATATTAAATTTTGTATGTTTGTATATTTTTTACTTCTTGACTGGCTGGACTGATTTAGATGAAATTAAGTTTAAAGAAAGAACGCACTAAAGCGGAGCGAGGGTAAGCCGATCTATAAAGTCGGACTTTATCCGTATTAATATTATAAATGTGAAAGTTTGTGAATATGTATAGATGTTTGTTACTCTTTCACGCCAGAACGGCTGAACGGATCCGGATAAAATTTGGCACAGAGATAGATTATCGTCTCGAATATCTACATAAGCTACTTTTTATGTCGTTTTATTTATATTATATGATATATATGTATGTGTGTGTTTGTTTGTTAAAACGGCTAAGATCTTTTTCTCGTTAAAACGGCTAAGCGGATTTGGATGAAATTTTGAACATAGATAGACTATGATCTGGAGTAACTCTTAGGCTAGTGTTAGTAATAATATTGGTCCAAAAGTGAAATAAGTCCCATTGGACTTTGAGAGTGGAAAGAATAGAAGAGTGCACTTGTTTCTGCGTGAATACTTGTGCACTATAATATTTTCTGTGCACTTAGTAATATTGGCCGCCATGACCGAAATTGGTCAGAAAGATATTAATATTAAGCGAACGTATATGATGATGAGGAAGCAGGTTATTTTTTTTTATTGGAAGAATTAAGTTAGCTTATAAAATAAAGAGTAGAGTAATGCGTCAAAACTATTTTTAAAGTTCTATTGAAATAACAAATAAATACCAGAATGTTTTACGTAAAAGACAGTGATTACTCGTTGTTATAATCTGTAGAACTCTCATCTTACATAACTCTAAGTGGTCATCCATCCAATTACGTGCCGCTGACGACGTTACTTGACTTTGATGATTAGTTACGGTTCTTCAGTTAAGTAGGTAGGTAATATAAACGCATTATAAGGGAACTTTCGATGAAGTTTTGTATTTGATTAATTTAAATTAATAGGTAGTGGTAGCCCAGCGGCAACGGACTTGCTTGGGAAACCCAGTGAAGCGGGTTCTAATCCCGGGTCTCGCTCCTCTGATATTCTCATGTGCGAATCATTTCTAACATGATTACCACTTGTCTTACGGTGAAGCAAAACATCTTGAGGAAACTTGCATATTTGAGAGAACCTAGCAAGTTTTCGAAAGACATGTGAAGTCCGCCAACATACTCTTGGCCAGCGTGGTGGAGTATGGCCTAATCCCCGTCGTATTGAAGGGAGGCCCGTGCCCAGCAGTGGGACATTAAAATGAGCTGAATACATACATACATTTAATTAAATCATTTCAAAGTAATGAGCATTCCACGTAGAGAATCTTTCTTTATTTTAATATTGAAAATTGAAAATATATATTATTTTCTGCCAACCTTATTACTATGTATTAAAAATGCGAAAATTTGTATATGTGTCTGTTTGTTACTCCTTTACGTTGAAGTAGCTGGATCGATTAGGGTAAAACTTAATGCACACTTATTAGTGTAATAATATATAATCACACACTTATTAGTGTAATAATATAAACAATATTCCACGGACACTACCTATTGGTAGTGTCCGTGGAATATTAGTCTAGGCTAAGTAAAATAAAATTCACTTCGTAAGTAGGCAAATACACGAAAGTTCAGTACCTTTTTCTCCCCTTTTTGTCAACTGATTTTCTTTTTTTTTGACGAGTTTTAGTGTTATCAATAAAAAAGCTTTCGACACCCTTTATTAGTTAGTTTTTTATATATGTAGATAGATAAATTCCATTCATATCTTTTCCTCAAATTTTTAAGAAAGATTATGGTCGAATCTCAATAAGCGAACACTAGTAAAATGTAAAAGCTTTTTACAATAAAAAGAGGTATATTCAATTTACAAAGCACACAATAAAGTGATTATAAAACTATAACAAAGCAAAGTTTCGAACACGGCAAAAATTCTGTAGCGAACTCTCCAAAACTTTACGAGAAGCCACTTTGTACTAACTTGGTATCTCTACAAGGAAGATCTAACGTCAAGGTACAGACAGCATTCTAGGACACAAGAGTTGGACACTTAGGTTGAAATCTTAATATTAAGTGTACTTGACTAGCTAAATAATTTTGTAAGTTATAAATAATTATTTTGTATTGTTATAAATAATTATAACAATAATATAGTGTTCAAAAAAAAGCTCTAAGCTGTGTTTTAAAGTAAAACCTACAAAATATACGTTGAGTTTTTTTTCTTGTGAACTAAAAATAGTTACCTTTTAAATACCTTTGAGACAACTAACATCTTAGTATCTCCCGTGACCATGATTGCTGTAAAGCGTCGAAACGTCGGGAAGTAAAATTCTAGATAAATTCGCGAAAAATCGGAAAAGATAGTTTTATTTAAAAATAGTAATAGTATGTATATCAGATAGCATTAGCTTTTTATGTAATTTGAACCTGTTTTCCTTTTTATAGTCGTTAGAGTCTATTTTTACCCCACAGTGCCATAAGCAAATATGCTTATTACCGACTACTATGTATCGTAACAGATGACAAGAATGAACTATACAAATTTTTTAAGTACACTCGAATGTCGCTCCATGTTTGAAGAATAAAAGAAGCATGCATACAATGGACTCCCAGCCCTATAAATGAAATTATAATTAATGATGTACTTATCAATATGGTAATAATCAGAACCAGTAGTAAAATGAATGGTGTAATGGAGGAATATATCTCATTGTTCAATTCATATACTTATTAGTTACTAGCGACTCACACTCGCTCCGCTCGGGTTCGTTCTTAGTTACGTTTTAACGTTTTTAACTTTTTTCCCGCAGTAAAAAGTATCCTATATGTTGGCTCAGATAACCAGCTATCGTGATACCAAATTTTATCAAAATCTGTTTAGTGGTTTTCTCGTGATGCGTTCACAGACAGACAGACAAAAATTCTAAAAACTACAGATTTGGCATCTGTATCGATAATGATGACTATTGTAATAAGATTTTTCAAAAAATATCTAATCTACAGATTTGACTCAGTTACAATTTTATTATATGTATAGATTTATAGTATATTATAGTGCCTTGATAATTAAGTTAATCTTAGATAAGTGTCCTAGGTTCGAATACTAGTAGGTGTACCTATTCTGTTAAATCTTTTACGTAATACAACTACTTAATCCAGCAAACTTCATACCAGTGTATTAAGTATGTTGGTGGATTCAGCTGTCGAGTTGTGTAAATATTGTTACAGAGTAACTCTACAGGACGTATAAAATAGAAAAATGAAAAAAATGAAGAGAAAAACTTGTCAATTTTAAATACTTTTCATACTATGTGAAATTAAAGAGCACGTTAAGTAGTCTTTATATCTTAGTACCAGCATAGTTACAGGCAGGTATGAAAACAGTCATTCTAAAGAGCTTTTAATATTTCTCAATGAGATGCCTCATTCAACCCTTTTGTTAACGTGTCACTGCAGAACACGAACCTGCTTTACGTTGATGATTGCAGGTCAGATCCTGCTATAGTCCACCACGCTGTCTTTCGAAAACTATTTAGATACTCTCAGATATATAGGTTCCCTCATCATGTTTTCTTTTACCGTAGGGCAAATGATCATGTTGAAAATGATTCCTACATGAAAATATCAGAGGTGCGGACCCGTAATTCGAACCTCTATCACTTGAATTTCCAAGCGAGCACGCTATCATTGGACTATCACTGCCTAACATTTACTTTAAATATTTACTCAACCCTTATCTAAAACGTAGACATCAAAAACAATGATAAAAAACATAAAACACAAGAATTTACTTTAAAAAATACTCACAGTCCCTCAAAACCCTATATCAATTAGTAAAGAGTAGCCATACACTAAGTTCTTCAAAAGCTCACGCCGCACTTGAAGCGTATCACGGTACATTAGAGCAAAGCGACGGAACCGCGCCTCAACAATAGCTATTTGTTGCCCCGACTCTCTTCGCAATATGACTGGCTTGGTGTGCAGAGTAGCTACGTTAAGACAGTCTAAAGTGTTATAATAATAAAATTATTAATAATTTTTAATATATACAATATACATACATATACATCCATACATACGTTATACATATATACAAATTTGCGTATACTTCGTCGTCTTCATGATAATTTTCTCTTCTTTCTTAGATTTCTTACTACATACTACATAGGTCTTCACAGATTCATACTTGGTTTGCGTCCTTATTTTCTACTTTACCATTAAAAACTACTTGTATTAAAAATAGATATTTTTGTTTGAAGTGGGATAATAAAAGCATTTGCATTTCGTGCAACAATTTATCTTGTGTACAATATCACGATTTCACGTATTGTTAATAAATATTTTTTTAATAAATAACTAATTATTGTAATTTACATGTAATATTTTTAGTATACATTTATTTTGGATATTTCTTCTTAATATTTTGAAATAATACCATAACCACCATAACCATAAAGGAACCTCTATATAAAATTATTCTATGATTTACTGCGTCATTCATTCGGCTCCCTTAGCGAATATAATTGTAGTACATTGTATAAATTGAAGTGCAACTTTATACTTTAGTCAATGTTTATGATTACATTGTCTTCTTTCTTCTTCTTTCTTATTTCCTTCTCTTTCGTTCGCAAAACAATTTTTAATATATTCTCTCATGGCAGTGTTATATAAGTACATATAAATTAAATCGATTGTAATTAGTTTAAGAAAAAAGACATTTGATACACGACAAGGCTAATTTGTTATTTATTACTTTCCAATTTTCTTCTTCAATTCAGAGTTAAATATATAATGTAAATAAAACGTGTTATGAAAATATAAAGAGTTTGAACTATTATATGCTTACATAAAAATATATATGAAAATTATATGTATTATATGTTTTTTCCTCTCATTCATGGTCGGACGAGGCAAATCCTAAATCGGTATGTCTAACCATGGCGTTTGTACAAATGTTCTTTATTGTTCTACAAAATAGATCATTTAAAGTGGTTTGTACGGAATTTTATTTTTGACGCTAGAAATAATATAAAAATTGAATTTTATGTTTTAGTTCGGGGGGCACGGAGTGCCCCCGCCAAGTCGAGCAAAAAAGGGCACGACAGTACCATCCTTTTCTCGAAGCGATTCAGAGCATTTTCCACCCCCCCATAACTTCGTTATGGATAAAGCTAGAAGCCTGAATTTTCAGCGACTAAAAGAATATAATAAAACTAGGCATATTTCCAAATTACATTCAATTTAAACCTGTACTTTAAGAACTGTTGCAGATCAAATTCGTTAATATCGTCACTCACAATCATCAAAATTCTAAGGTACTTCTAGCAGACATAGGAGCTTCAAATTTTGAACACAATTAGTGTTTAGCCTATAACGGAAGGAAAAACTCAAACATCATGCAATTTCAATCCTGTTTTCGAGATATACAAACTGCATAAGTAACTTTGTATTCCTATACAAATAGATATGCGATATATGGGATTACAAAGTTATTTTTGCAGTTCATACATATCATTTTTCGTCACTTAAACTACCCAAATGTATAGCAGGGTAAATAGTGGATATACTGTAAGTGTTAGCGACGACTAAAATGTAATTATCAATATTGTAAAGAGTTTTAAGAAATAATATATTTAATATATAAATTAAAACTTATATGTATAAAAGATCTTAAATATAAAAAAAATATACAAGTAATCGAACACTCGTGTGTTCCGTAGCGAGAGTCGCCCCGGGGGAATTCGGGTGGTATCCGTAATAGGATTTCCCAACTATAAAAAAAAGTACAGAGCCCTCGGAGCGTTAGTTTGTCTTCTACTTGACTAATACATACATATGTATTTATCAATATTTAGTTTAGTCATGTTAAAAAAACACAGGAATAACTCATATATTATTTTATTAACTTAAATATCCAACTTAAAATATATCTTTCTCAGAGTTCCGTTTGTTATCACTAAGTATTTAATTTGTTAGTCAGGAACGCTAGAAGGTTTAGGTATTTTTTTAAATAATAGGTCACAATAAAATAGCACATAATATAAATATTTTGATATAAATAAACTTCATCATAGCTTGCCTTAATTTGTGCCGTTATGTCTATTTGCAATTAAGAAACAACTTGACGATTACTTAATTTTGAAACTAAAATATTCGTTAAATTAACTATACATATTTATTCTTAATGCATAAGATAGTAGTATTAAAGTCCAGGAGTCCGTAATTTCCCAATACAATAGACTTAGATTTTTTATCATCCAGACTTGTCAAAATTTGTTGCCTATATCAAAGCCTCTGAAAAAAGCCCACAGAGACAAGGAGTGGGCTTTTAAAAAGTCCTTAGCTGACACACAAGAAATAGTACAAGAAAAGAGAAAAAGAAGAAATATTTACAAAAAGAAATGAGATCCCATCAAAAACATTCTGTAAAAATATTGCAAGTCTCGCAACGCATTTCTTCTACCTCAAAAAGCTATGAGATGTAATGTAAAACCAAGTCGGTTAATTTATTCATTACCTATCTATGAAAGCATCTATCCGACAACTTTGTCATAAATCGTTACCGAATTAGTTAAGTTACAACATTTTATAGTGACCGTATTAATATTAGATATATTTATTTCTTTAATTAATAGAATGACTTGGCCATCGCACATGATAATAGAATCTACAAATAACAAAATTTACCTAAAATTAGCGTTCTGAGTGCATTATTATATATAGATGCATAAATTTGACCCGCTAGTGCTATGTTCAGTTCATCTCAGCCCAAACACACACACAGCTGGACATAGGCCTCTCCCAAAAAGTTCCACGACAACCAGTCTTGTGCCATCCGCATCTAGTGGGCTCCAGCGACTTTGACCAAGTAGTCCGTCCACCTTGGTCATGATATGTTTAATTAGGGCTATTTAAAGTTGTAGACTCTTATGTGATAATGTTTCCGTGCGATGGCCAAGTCATTCTATTAATTAAAGAAATAAATATATCTAATATTAATACGGTCACTATAAAATGTTGTAACTTAACTAATTCGGTAACGATTTATGACAAAGTTGTCGGATAGATGCTTTCATAGATAGGTAATGAATAAATTAACCGACTTGGTTTTACATTACATCTCATAGCTTTTTGAGGTAGAAGAAATGCGTTGCGAGACTTGCAATATTTTTACAGAATGTTTTTGATGGGATTGTATATTAACAGAAAGAAAAAATAACTGTTGATAATATTTAATTAGCATCTAAATTTATAATTAAATAAGCACACAATGAATTTGTTATCACAATTTTCTTAGTTTAATTTTTTAAGTACACATGTTTAATGTTTCATGCGGTATATAAAAATTTATGAAAATTTAAAAAGAATTTAAAAAAATAAAATTTAACTAAAATATTAATTTTTAATTTACTTCGAAAAATCAGAAACTCAAATACGAACCTCAAGGCCGCTAAATATCGCACTCTCTCTCGTCGAACAGATTGTAAGGCGCGTCTGTATATCAAGAGAGATGAGACAATGGAGTATTGTTGGTCGCATTACGATTAAGAGTTATATTGGATCATTCATTTTAAAACTACCGCCATTTTGAAATTGCTATTGATCATCGAGGCTTCACTCTGGGAATATCTTTTATGACGAAATTATACTTTTTATATCATTATTATTGTGTTTAAAAAGAATTTTTATTCCAGATCCATTGTTTTAGGAAGCGAGTTTTTTCTTTCTCTCTTGTATTGGTTTCGATGTTTTTTGATTGTTTACTGACATATATTTTACTAGAGACTCGCAATCACTTTTATAAGGGCACTAATCTATATATTATATTGTAATGTTTATTAGTTTTGAACTTACTTTCATGAGTTATATATATGGGAACTGTTACAAGCGCCTTGGTCACGGTCTAATTAGGTATATGCATGTACCCACGATAATATAAGAATGTAGTATAATATATAATATGGTACAAAAATATAGTGAAAATGAAAGTCAAAAGACATATAGGTACTGTAAATGTAATGTAATTAGAAATGCTTTTTCGCCTTACTTTAATTTAAATGATTGAACTTATAAAGCACTAGCGACTCATCCAAGCTCCGTTCGGGTTTGTCTCTAGTTATGTTTTACTTGGTATAGATTTTCCCGCAGTAAAAAGTATCCTATATGTTGACCCGGACCAGTATTTATGATACCAAATTTCATCAAAATCTGTCCAGTTGTTATCTCATGATGCGGTCGCAGACCGACAGACAAAAATCTAAAGGCTATAGATCCGGCCTGTGTATCGATAATAATGATTATTATCTTACAATAAGATTTTCCAAAAAAATATTTAATGTACAGATTTGACTGAGAATTTTATTATATGTAATGATTAGACTAACAGATATCTATTATATTTTATATTTTCAATGATAGCTTAAGTCTATCGTAGCCGTCATTTAAAGCTTATCGGTTCACTTTCAACTGTCAAAAGTTGGTGGAAATCTCCGCCGGGATTCCATTGAGTGAAGTCGACTACATCTATCTACGTTCCAGACTTTTATATGGTTAAAATCTATATGTTTCTAGTTATTTATAGGTACTATATTTTATTTAAAACCGGTACTTTACGGTTTTAGAGGTTGATTTTTTAAACAAACTTTTTACTCATACTATTTAAAATATATCAAATTTTCTCGAAATATGTTTAAATATTTTCTTGTAAAAACCAAGCAGAGAGATAATCACTTTAGCTTTTTAAGTGATTGGCATTAACTAGGTCGTAGGTATGAATTGTTTACGAGATCAACATTTGTTAAATACACTAACACGGTAAAAGAGAAGCAAATTTTATAAGGAAGTTCTAAAAATTTTATTTTTAGCGGATATAAGGAATAGAGTTGAGTTTGTATTATTTTTTGTGATATTTCAGCATTTCATGGCTTAATTAGAATATTTTTAGTCGTTACAAAATCAATAGATTTACTACAAACGTGAATGTTGTACACAACATGAAAAACCATATTTCTATGGTAAATTACAATTTACCATAAAAATGTCTTTTTTTCATTTGCTTAACTTTACTTACATGTAGTGTTGCAATGCAAAATAAAAGCAGAGTACGTAGTGAAGTGCCACTATACCTACTTATTATTTTCCATATAAAGAAAGCTCTTAAAATAAATAATAAGTAAATAAATATTTTGGGACATTAACATACAAAATTGGTGAAATAAATGACTAGAAGACTAATTACCAAAATTTTTACTTATTTCTTACAGGTCCTTAGAATTTATGAAATCTAGACATTTTGTTTCATTTAAACTCTATTTATTAGAAATAATTGAGATTAATAAAATATTTTCTAATTCATGTTTTTCATAAATATTTGGCTGTATTGATCTTAATCGTTAGCAAAAAAAAGTAATATCATGAATATATTTAAACATTTAATGATTCTCTTAATTGTATTAAGAGAATCATTAAATGTTCATATTTAGCACTTTTATAACGTCCAACTGTTAGGCATATCCCCTTTCACGACGTTTTCTATCATCTTAAGTGATAATCATGTCGAAAGTGATTTATACATGAAAAATATCGAATATGCGAGAGAGATTTGAACCCTCTCCACTCGGTTTCCTAAGCAAGCACGTTACCACTGGGCTACAACT